CCGTCTGCTTCGACTATTTCTAACGGGAAAACCGAGAACGTACCGGTGGTGCTGGATACCAGGAGGACGACATGGGGGAGTTCACGGCGTTTTTGCTGTTACTGGTGGCGACCTTGACGCTTTCATCCGAGGTTAGTAGCCTTCCGTGGAGAAATCACAGACGGTGGGAGTGGGTGAGTGGATCCGTGGCTCCGCGGCTCATCTGCGGGCCTGTAGCCACACCGACCACCACACCGACCACCGTCTAACCGGAATACAGACGTGTTTAACGGTTATATTTTAAATGTTACGGTCAATAACTGCTGGCATGAAGGCCGTGTAATCTTAACAGTTAACGGAGCTGCTAATAACGATAACAATATTACGGGAATTTGACGAGGCCCACTCTTGATGTTATCCAAGGATTTGTTTTTTGTCCAGTTTTGAACATCTTGTTGTGTGCGTTCATCAATATTTCAGGTTTATAGTGTTACACAAGAGATTTACTGCGAGGAATTAGCTAACCAGAAAATGTCAGCAATGTTACCAAGGCCTACCATTAGATGTCAGTGATTGACAGTTTGGCCCTGCAATGTTGGACATGTTTTGGTTAATCCAGTGGAGGGAGTTTCTTTTACGCAGTTATGATAATGTAACAATAATGCTTGCTGTAGAAGGAAGTTATTTGTCAGTAACCTAGCTAATGCAGCTAAAAGGGTTTAAAGCTAACGTTAGCTCTTTTCAGAAATGTACACGGATTGGCATGGCAACCGCTAGTGGCTAAAAAACGTCGTATGTATGCAGTCAGTTTGGGATTTGTGTTTTAAACCCGTAAATACACCAGATAAGACCGACACATACAACACGTTGAGGGTTCATTTGTTATATCTCCTGATACAGACGTTGTTTTTTTATTTATTGTAATGTACTGTGTTATTATTGCTGCTGCTGCTGCGTGGTCATGGCCAACTCTGTCCAGTTCAGCAGTGTTGCAGCTGCAGGGTGTGATATTGCTGAGGAGAATGGAAAAAGATGCAGCCTTTTTAGTTTGACACTAAGCAAGATGGCGCCTGCAGCTTGCTGCTGTTGCTGATGCTTTGCAGGACCAGAGAAATACACAACTTTTGAAGGATCTACTGGAGATAGAATGAATAGGGCCTATATTGCATAATTGAAATCAATATGCATACAGCTGTACTCTCAGTACCATGCTACACTTAAGGGTGCATGTAACTTAGCAGAGTGTTTCTTTCTATTAACTGCAGGCTTGATATAACCCAAACCAAATCCCTAAGTGCTACATTATACAATGCCCCTGCAGCAGAATAAAGCAGGACACTACTATTGTCGAGAACCTTCCATTATAACCATGTTGCCATTCTAGTATGACTATGCTGAGGTGCTATAAATATGTCATATTGAGAGCACCCTGTGAATTAATTTACATATATTAGTTGTATTTTAGAGTGCTATTTTAAGATTGCAATGTTTCATAGGATCATATGATCTGTCTGGTCAGATTGGCTTTATAGCCAATGCAATCTAGGTAAATCCAATCATTGTGTTGAAATGTATTTCATTTCCCTGCATGTGTTTTAGGCTGCAGGCTGAGTCAATGATTAAAAGAGCAGCACAGGCCCTAAGATGTGATAACCTTTGCCGTGGCCTGCTGCCACATTGCCCTACGGTCAAACAGGAGTTTGTGAACACCTTTTTCTTTCATGTAGATGAAGACTAGTTTCAACTGGTTGTCTCAGTGTAATCCAAGACTACCAAGTAAAGGAGCAATTAAGTAATATCATGTTTCTTCATGTAACTGTGCCTTCTGGCTTATACTTGTGACCATTAACATGATTTGAAAGATTAGCCAATGATACATGAGGTTGTCAATGCATGGTATCAGTTGGCAGTTTTAGGATTACCATCCTGAGTTGTCTTCCTATTTTACCCATCGCAAAATAAATCAACTATAAAAAATAACAATGGCCTAATAAGGTGAGAATAGAGTAGTTTCAGCATGAAGGAACAATGAGTTAACCCATCCTGAATCACAGGCAGATAATATAATGCAGAGCTTTACAAACAATCGTTGTATTGTCAACAGATGGCTTGGTGGCGTATTGTCAAGCTTGCATCATCAGTCATTTCTAGTGTCTGCTAGAAAAATAGAAGATCCAGAAAGCAAAGCACATTGAGACTGTTGGGCTGAAGAGAAGGTTATATGTTATCTCACATTAGCTCACAGCTGGATTTTAATAGTCTGTGGTTCAAAAGGTTTCTACTCTTTGCAATGAGACGCAATATGATCTTCTCCACTGGCCTGTGGCTGTAATGCTTAGCTGTCTGGCTTATAGGCTTAAAGGGATAAATCAGAGAATCTTGTCTTGCTCAGGCTTAAACCAGTATTCCAATCCTTTATCTTGTATGTAGTAACTTAAATGTGCAAGGATTTTATAGATGCATTTTGAAGAGACCTTTAACCTTATGATTCAATAATCTATGTCCTGCAGAAAGAGACGTATGTTGTGCAGGACTGCAGGTGAAAGAAAAAGGAATAAACTGAGAGTGGCTAAATATACATTAGCTGCATCAGGAGATATTTATGTTTAAGTTATACTTCAGCCAGTTTGGTACCATCCATCATCATTGTTGTCCTCTCTTTCCTTGTCTGTCCAGGTGCCTGCTGATGACTCTGTGGATATGCAAACCGAGCCCCAGGTGGCTATGTTCTGCGGGAAGCTCAACATGCACATTAATGTGCAGAGTGGAAAATGGGAGTCTGACCCTTCAGGCACCAAGAGCTGCATCGGCACCAAGGAGGGCATCCTGCAGTACTGCCAAGAGGTATTTATACAGAGTGACAGAGAAACACATAGGGACAAATAAATCAAGTAGACAGGAAGATGCAGCTAATGCAGTAACAAAGGACATGAAAATATCTCACTTTTTCTCCAGGTGTACCCAGAGTTGCAGATTACAAATGTTGTAGAGGCCAACCAGCCTATCAGCATCGAGGACTGGTGCAAGAAAGGCCGCAAGCAATGCCGCAGTCACACCCACATCGTGGTTCCCTACCGCTGCCTGGGTAACCAGTTTACCAGTTCATCATTCGAATGGTACTGAGCATGTTTATTTACATGATATTAACAAAGGCCTTTTTCCTTTTTCAGTTGGAGAGTTTGTGAGCGATGCTCTGCTGGTTCCTGACAAGTGTAAGTTCCTGCACCAGGAGCGTATGGACCAGTGTGAGAGCCACCTGCACTGGCACACTGTTGCCAAAGAGGTGAGGAGAAAAAGGTCCTCAATATCAATATCAATATGTTCCTTTGAAAAAAAAAAACGGTTGTCACAGGGACCAAGCAAATTAATCACAAGACTCAACTGATGGCATGTTTGAATCTGCGAGTGATTTGTTCAGATTATTGTTATTTTATCGTCGCTCTTTCGTGTTAACTCGTGTGTGGCATCATGGATTTTACTACAAACTTTCATCTCCTTGTGAAATGTTTAAATGTCGTATGTTTTTGTTGTGTTTATAATTCTATAAGAAGTTGTCATTAATGCTCATTATATTTAGTCCTGTGGAGACCGCTCAATGAATCTCCATGACTACGGGATGCTTTTGCCATGTGGTATTGACCGTTTCCGAGGGGTGGAGTTTGTCTGCTGTCCGGCGGAGCGGGCGGAGCGAGAGGCCGACAGTGCTGAGCTGGAAGGGGAGGAGTCAGACGTCTGGTGGGGCGGAGCTGAGACCGAATACTCAGATAACAGGTATCACCACTCGCACACATTCATCACACATTCATCCCCTCTGAAGTACACACTGATTTGTTAATACATGAACATCCTCCTCTCCACGCAGCATGACTCGCCCGGCAGAGACAGAGCCAGCCACAACTGAAGACGATGAAGACGAGGATGAAGAGACAGAAACATTTGAAAGGGATGAGAATGGAGATGGCGATGAAGATGATGATGAGGACGACGATGAGGACGATGTCATCGACGAAAGGGATAGTGATGAGCGCAGTGCTAACATCGCCATGACAACCACCACCACCACCACCACTGAATCCGTTGAGGAAGTTGTCCGAGGTGAGAAATCTAGATGTAGATACAAATGTATTCATTTATCGGCCTTTTTTTCATCGTTGGTTGTTCTGTTGATCGACAATCTCATATTTTTCATTCATATTTTTTATGTTATATATTTTAATTTGCCT